GACTGATAAACAAAGTGATACTTTTGTGTTTTTAACAAGTAACCCAATGCAATTTCTCCAGATTGGCTTTGAGGTCTGCAATACTAAGTTCAAGACAACAACATAACAAACTGTGTACATGTACTGTTGCACATGTATCTGTTGCACATCACTGTAGTACACAACTCATGAAAAAGAGGTAAACCCTTCAAAAAATGGCAACTGCCACCTCTCAGCTTCATTTCAATAAAAAAAAGTTCGAATCTGTAAAGTGATTATTCATTCACCTCAGTACTTGATCTTGCGAACAGTAAAGTCTTCAAGGGCTACAAAGTCACAGAGAAGGAAAACCTAACAGAAAGGAGGACCAAAAACAAGATGAAAGAAAAAAATTAGAAACTGATGAAGGCAATATTTGCTTGTTTGCTTACAAATGATATATGGAACTGAAGGTGATACTGTGCAACTTGTAAAGATCCAATCAATAATCAATAATCAATAATCTGTTTGTACAGATGGCAATTACTTATCAAACATTTTTTAGTTTGACAGGTTTGGGTAGCTTTTTTTTCACGGGAGGCTCACAAACCATCTTAGTAAAGTGACAGTACTAAAAACATTTTGACATTTTGAAGTTTAATTATTTGTACAGATACTAACCAACAATCCTAAGAGTGATGGTGGTTTGGTTATTGTCATCAGCAATCATGACTGTTGATGTGGACAGAAAGTTATTTGAAAGAGCAATGATGTTAAAGACCTTCACTATCCAGGTAACTTAAGTGACACCAACATGCAGCAGGTGAAAGGGCATCATGTCGTGGATGTTGCAGATACATGTAAAGTTTGTCAGGACTAATGCCAACAGTTATCACAAGAGAACATTATCATTATACTATAATCCAATTACAAGTGGTCAGCCATCTTGGCTAGTTGCATTGTGGCTTACAATTTACAATCCAGTCCTGTGACAGTGACTACTACCCATGATGAAAAAAAGAGAAGATTTAATATTTGCAAGGATGCTCGTGGCTGTAACTTCATAACACTGACTGCTAGTCATGTTGATGACAAAAAAACCATGTCCATGCAGTAAGGATGCTGATGATAACATAAGGTGAGGCTGACTGCCAGCCATGTTAATAACACCGTAATCATTTCCACAATGATGGAGATAGCTGTAGCTGATATAGACTCCCAGCTACAATGTATGATGATGATGACAAGGATCGGAACGGGCTTAGGTGAGACAGACTACAAGCCATCACGATGATTGGTCAATATGTCCATAAAGATGGTGGTTCTTTAACCGCCAGCCATGATGATGTCAATATACATAGGCAAAAGGTCCACAAAGATGGTGATGCTTCTCGCTGACACTGATGGCCAGTTGGAGGGTGGCAATATCCATGTAGCCACCAGGTCCACAAAGTTGGTGATGCCTTTAGCTGATACTGACTGTCAGCCATGAGGATGAAAATACAGCTAGCAGGTCCACAAAGATGATGATGGCTTTACCTGACACTGACTGCCAGATATTAGGGTGGCAATATAGCCACCAAGTCCATAAAGATGATGATGGGTTTAGTTGACACTGACTGCCAGCCATGAGGGTGGTAATATAGCCACCAAGTCCATAAAGATGATGGTGGGTTTAGTTGACACTGACTGCCACCCATGAGGGTGGTAATATAGTCACCAAGTCCATAAAGATGATGATGGGTTTAGTTGACACCGACTGCCACCCATGAGGGTGGCAATATAGCCACCAAGTCCATAAAGATGATGATGGGTTTAGTTGACACTGACTGCCAGATATGAGGGTGGCAATATAGCCACCAAGTCCATAAAGATGATGATGGGTTTAGTTGACACTGACTGCCAGATATGAGGGTGGCAATATAGCCACCAAGTCCATAAAGATGAAGATGGGTTTAGTTGACACTGACTGCCAGATATGAGGGTGGCAATATAGTCACCAAGTCCATAAAGATGATGATGGGTTTAGTTGACACTGACTGCCAGCCATGAGGGTGGTAATATAGTCACCAAGTCCATAAAGATGATGATGGGTTTAGTTGACACTGACTGCCACCCTTGAGAGTGATAATATAGCCAACAAGTCGACAAAGATGATAATGGGTTTAGGTGACACTGACTGCCAGCCATGATGGATAATTGCCCACTCTACTCCTTTGGGCATTTGACAGTTGCTTTTCATGGAATTAATCACCTTTCATTTTTCTAATCCCAACTACCGCTATTAATATTTAAGGTACTGCAGACTATTTACTCTGATGTTTCACTTTCTGAATATATTTTAACAAACACAACATAATCGTAAAAGCAATTCTACTTCATCTTAACTCAAAAAAGTGCATGAAAATATGACAAATTATGTAGCAGTAATTCAAATGCTTGAAGTTCACACAGCAGATGAATGTACCACTTTTTCAGTCTTCGGTGTTGGCAATTATGCATGTCATCGTGTCTACAAGAATGATGATACCTTAAGCTGACACAGACTGCCAACCATAATGATGACGACAACTTATATCATCAAGTTCATAGGGACGTGATGGTTTGAGCTACATGTATATGGTCACAGACATTTTGTGTAAGTCATATCAAGTCCACAAGAATGGTGATGCTCTTATTAGATGACACTATTTGCAAAGCATGTTGATGCATGACACATAGTGATCATGTTTTATAAGATACCAATAGCCTGGATTTGATTCGGGTACGTATACAGGTACATTTCTTTCAATAAGCATGTTTGTGTAATTTAAGTACTTAAATAAAACTTTCAAGATTTGACCTTAAGTAAGTACAAGTCTGTAAAAAAATGGGCAAGCAAAACCTCTCTTTAAGAAGACTTTCCATAATTCTTTGAATCACAACAATCTGAGGATTGTCCATGCCACATGATAAATGATTAAAAACTTGGCAATTTAAAAATTAAACCCTGTTTGTGCACAAAGAATGCTTATTACAAATTAGTTACATTAATGACATCACTACACATTGTGTTGTCTGCCGGAGACAATGTGTAAATGGTAATCAATGTGCAATTATGAAATATGCTGAAATTCTATGGAACTTGCATTTTATGCTCGATCAAAGTTTATTAAATTGTTGATTAATTTACAATTCTTTTTACAAGTACTGGGTGCTGATTTATCTTAGTAAATGCTTTACTCTTTCAACTTATAATCCACTCACAGATGACTCATGTATATCATTTTTTATTGTGATTCGAATGCCTTCATGGTAACTGTAGTATGTAGGAATTACATCAGCATGTACATTATCCATATTTCTAATGTACACATGATCAATTAAAGTCCCACCTTCAGTTGTTGCATTTGTGATATATTGCTTATAGCCCTTGATTCGCATGAATCTTTCAACACGTGAACATCCTTTTGAAATATCTTCATTGAAATCACCCATTATGATTGATCTGTTTGATACTCTGTGAATTTCATCAAGGAGACATTCTGCATTAGCAATAAAAGCGTGGATAGGATATGATGCTGGCCGATAAATTACCACCAAACAAAAAGAAATTTCACAAATCACCTGCAATGCAATATACTCAATGTTCATTACAGGTAATCTTAGTCTACTGCAAGTCCTGTTCCTCCTAACATATATAGCAACACCTCCATGACACTGTTGTCTCAACATTTGCGTTATACTGCTTGAATCATTATATGAAAGATTTCTGATCTGATGATAGCATTTAAATTCTGTTACTTCTGTATCATTGCATAACTCATTATCAATCCATGTTTCTGTCAAACTAATGAAATCTGATACCATAAAATCTTTGTTATATTTTAGGTCCATAAAATGTTCTTTCAATCCTTGAATATTATGCATCATGATCACTGTCTGCTCCAAGGGCTCTGTGCTTTCATTATTTTCATCAATAAAATGTGGCATGTTACGCAATGAATCATGAATTGATTTATTACAATAGATATACTTTTCATCAAAGCCTTCAATCAGAAGCCCATTAAGTGATGTCACTCGACTCATTGCAACATATGCTTGACCTGATGAAAATGTGCGCTGTAATGACACAACAGCTTTTTCAGTTGTCAACCCTTGTACTTTGTGAACTGTACAAGCCCATGCTAATTTCAAAGGAAACTGACGTCGCATCCACTTTTTGGTCATATTTTCTTCTGCTCTCTCAATTACAATAGAATCATCATTCACTGACAATTGACATTTCCTTTGCAATTTCATTCCAATATTTTTATTGTCAAAATGAATATGTATACCCTTAGGAGAAGAATTATCTGGCAGCATAGAGATTGCAGACACAGTTCCCATTACTCCATTGACAAGTCCATCTGACACATCAATATTTTTTGTTAGCATGACCCTTGCACCAATGCCTAGCCATAACGACTCAGGTAAGCTGGTGAAAATTGCTCTCTTTGGTATTTTCTGTTCTCCACTTTTCTTAGTTTTACCCGTATCTCTCTGAAAATCATTTGATAAAACACATGTACAATCAGTACACTTTGCAAACAACATTTTCAAATTATATTCATCCACTTGTTTGTTGCATGGGAAAATATGTAGTGCATCATCCCAATCTTCACCGGTCTCTCGTGATTGTAACATTGTTACATCTTCATTCTGTATTTTATCCTGCTTGGATCTGACACGTAACCTATATAAAGTTTCTGCAAACTGGATATCTTCTTTCTGTCTCATAATCTCTGTTAATTCAACGCTCTGAAAATAATTATTCCACAGATCTACTGTTACACCCATGTTGTACAAAGCCTTTCCTTTCACTGGAGGCAATTGATAAAAGTCACCAACAGCTAAAATACTGACATTCCCAAAGGTTTTGCTATTATCTCGTATTTGCTTCATTTGACGAAGACGCCCATGGATATAACAAAGCATTTTGTGATCAACCATTGATATCTCATCAATAATCATAATTTGAAGATCCTGCAGTGTAACTCTTAATGTATTCAATTTGTCATCACCGAGGGGTTGATAAGGCAATCTTGCATCTGTAGGAATTGACAATGCACTGTGAATTGTACTTCCATTGATGTTAAACGCTGCAACTCCTGTAGGTGCAGTGATTAATACTGATACATTATCCGGATTATGATTCATTTTTGAAAATAATCGTGTTGCTTCATAATATACACACTTGATCAAATGGCTTTTCCCGGTTCCAGCTCCACCAGTCAGAAATACATGAAATGGTTCAGGACTTTCTCCATTAACCTTTTGTAAACACCAGTCACGAATCTTGTTAAAAACATTCCTCTGTTGTTCATTTAATGATCTCAATAAAAGTAATGCATCTTGTTTTGATATTTTAGCAGAATGTGGTTCAATATTATGTGTTCTTTCTTTATTGTCAGGCTGCAGATCTGGAATATCACATTCTTCATCATCTTCTTCAACTGGTTTACGTTCTCTTTCACATTCCAATCTTTCTTGCTCACTTGTTGGACAAATCAAAGCCCATGCATCCTCATGCACACCAAATTTTTCCACATATTTCTCTGCTGCCTCAAGACTCTCAGCATTCTTCTCATACTTGGATCGATTATCTTCAACTGTAACACTAACTGATACCATATCACCATTTAAGCAAACAGCCCCATTTCTATAAAAGTCTTCATATGTCTCAAATTGTTCTGGCTTCAATTGAGCATCTACGAGATGTGGAAGGAACAATTGCAGTAAACTATGGTAGTATTTTTCAGAGTATTTGGTTATTGAAAACCGTGGATATCTTATGACTGCTGGTTCAGTTCGACTACGTTTCTGTATATGACCCAATCCATTTTTCAATGTGAATAGTCTTGACTTTTTTGATTTGTTACAAGTATCTGCACTATAAATAATTCTATAATGTGAACAGAATGTTGCAAGGCACATGTTTTCAAAAGTATCAGTATCTGGTCTTGCTTTATAACGATCAACTCGATTTTTCATAAATATATCATCATCATCTTCTGATTTTTTCTGAATTACACTCAATGGTAAACTCATTCTTACTGGACTTTCACCAACAGGAATAAACTCCACTTTTCTTGAACCCTCTTTTAATCGCAGACTACAAACACGAAACACTGCTTCTTGGGCAGATACCTCACGATTATGCAAGTACACACACCCGAGTTCCTTCATACTTTTTCTTGCATCCAAATTACCCTTCCTTGCTTCACTTAGAGTATGAGATAATAACTGGCCCATTTCACGCTCAGACTTAGACATGTAGGAAACAACATAAGCTGCACATGCATATTCATCACATATATACTGTATATCCATATTTGCGTTCCAGCATCTTATCAGATCAGGATTGTACTGATTGACCCAAACATCTTGAGGATCTCTTTTCATTATAATACTAGTTTTTGTACTTAAAAGATCATTAGCCTTTTCAAAATCAGTCTGCATAATATTGATACTTTTAAACAATTCTAAGGCTGACATGTTTGCGTTATTCTTATCTTGTATAGCCTCCCAAACAGATTTCAGTAACTCCTTGGCTTCATCATGCTTCTTTCTATCACTAATTGTGCCACTCTCATCAACATCAATGCAAACATCTTCTTTTACGTTCTCAGTACCATCATTATCACTGCGACCACTTTCATCAAGGTCATTATCATTATTAAATTCATTCTCTTCTGCATAAGAATTCTTATTGACTACATAATCAGCTGATGGATCTGGTTTCGATATAAAAGTTCTGACAGATGGAGGTCTTGGAAAGTTGAATCTACACTCTGTCCCCTTCTTTTTACAAGATTTGGAATGTTTCCTACTATGCAACTGCACGTGACTCACAATGTCATTCAATTCCTCATGTTCTTCCTTTGAGGGCAACTTGCAACTAACATATCTATCAATAAATGTTACAACTTCATCATCTGTATCCACTTCAATTCGAGGAGCGTTTTCAATCCAAAATAAACAGTGAGTATGCGGAGAGCCTCTTTGCTGAAATTCAACTCTATAAAAGTAATCTTTCACTTTTCCAACAGGATTCGCAGGTGACAAAATGACATCCTTCAAAAATGTATGAAATCTTCGATCAAACATTCTAGCCACAGTCACAGGATTACTTCGTAAGATTAAACATTTTTCATTCCAATCCAAATCTTCAATTGTTCTTGAATCTCCCTGTTGCCTTAATAGTGTATTTATAACTTCTGGCCATCTCATGTCAGCTGAAGAAAATGAACAAAACCACGTAGGTATTCCAAGTTGTCTTATCATAGCCATAACATCTCTTTGTGCTGACTGCCAATAAGGTGGTGTACCTCTAATAGGTTTCAAGAATTTGTAACCACTGTCAGACTGCAAAATCTCATTTAACTGGTCTTTGTCTTTAATCATTCCAGCTCCCAATTTGCCAATATTTGAATTTCTTCCTGAACTTTGACGCATTGCAATTGAAACTTTTGACATTACATTTTGAACTTCTGACAGGTACTGTGCATAAAAGATGTACTGAATATTCTTTGCAAATCTATTATCAGCATTCATTAATCGGTTAAGGAAATATCTTGAAAGTGTTATGCGCACTGGCCGATCATCATTAAAGATTGGAGTCCCAGATGGAAACAATGCAGGAAAACATTTGGCTTCATTACCTTCTTCCATCAACACTCTAACAGGATTATTTCCTTCACAAGGTGCTACATTAAGTACATCATCAAAGTGTTGATCAAGCACTTCTTGTCCAATATCTACAGGTTGTAAGCATGTATCCAAAGGAATACCACACAAACGATCATCTGTTTCATCATCACTTCCACCCGACTCCTCATCTGAACATTGTCCTGTTGTACTATCCTGTTCTTCTAATTTATGATCATCATCCAATAATGGATTTTGCCACTCTTTATTCACTACAATGTCTTTGTACCAAATATTATTCGCCTTGAGATAATGCAATGCATTTTCAACATTATCCTTGCTCACCAGTTGATATTGATAATATCCTTTGTAAGTTAATTTTCTTTTCAACTTCACTCTTATCAACTCATTACTACTGTTACATCTCGGCAATGCTGTTAGTGTTTTTGTTATATTTGATGGCACACATACAACCGGACCATGAACTCCATTCTGGCCTCCCCTTGGCAATGCTAGCATCTTCATAAATGGTATATTAATTGAGATCAGATGTTCCTCTAATATATTCAAACATCTTAATTCCTCAGGAATGTCAACCAATTCCAAATTATTCATCCAAGCTTCTGCAGGTATCTTTTTTTGGCACAATTTCCTGTGACACGTGTAACAGATCCACAAATATGATCCACTTGATTTCCAAACAAAGCACTGCTTTCCAAGTGTTTCCTTACCAGCGGAAGTATCAAAATATTTTTCAGATATAGAATCAGTGTTACTGTATTTGCCTTTATTACATCTCATTACTTGATTCTTAAATAACAGTTTACAACAAACAGCACACACATACTCAGGTCCCATTGAAACTTCTTTTCTCCAAGTAAACATGACATTCTTCATTTCGCAAGCCATTTTCTTCTGCTTCATTCTCTGTGCTAAGTTTCTCTGTTTCATTTTTTCACGATATTCAGCATTGATACGATATTTAAACTTTTGAAATCTTATCACTTTTTTCCTGTATGTCAAATTACAAAAATACTTCCTTCTTATAGACTGAATGAGAGCATTTCTATATGCTGATTTGCAATGATATTTCTTCTTTACATCATCCTTGTGATACCTGTTTTTCACTCTATTCAATTTTCTTTCCCTGTTTTCCACATCTTCATGATATTTATTTTTTGTACTTTTAATCTTTCTCTTTCTATGAGCACCATCTTTCTGATACTTACTTTTATCATGATAAAGCTTTCTTTGTCTGTGTACATCATCTTCCTGATACTTAGTCTTGGCATGATGGACCTTTCTTTGTCTGTGTACATCATCTTTCTGATACTTAGTCTTATCATGATAAAGCTTTCTTTGTCTGTGTACATCATCTTCCTGATACTTAGTCTTGACATGATGGACCTTTCTTTCTCTGAGTATATCATCTTCCTGATACTTAGTTTTGGCATGATGGACCTTTCTTTGTCTGTGTACATCATCTTCTTGGTACCTCATCTTAGTATGTTTAAGCTTCTTCTCTCTGAGTACACTGTCTTCTTGGTACTTAACTCTTGTAACCATAACCTTTTTTGCTCTATATGCTACATCCTAATGATACTTCTGTTTCTTTCTGGCTGCATAACTAATTTCCTTTACTTCAGAACGATTTTTCTCTTCTTTATTTTTTTTATATCTTTCTCTAGCTTTCTCTTTTTGCAGTTTGCTTCTCATCTTATGATTGACACGTTTACGTCGTTTCTTATGAGATTGCTTTGGCTTCTCTAATTCTGAGTCTCTCTTCATCACACCATCACAGCTACTGTTATCTTTTGTTATATGCTCAGTACAATGTCTATAAACATCCTCAGTTGACTCAGTGATTAACTCATGGACACTCTCAACTACATCATAATGAACCTGTCTCCTGTGATACAAATAAATGCCTGAATCTGACAATCCATGACCATGAGACAACATACCAGTAAATATGTACCAATTACTGACCTCATTGTATGTATATATGCTCACATTTAATAATTCAGCCATTGCCATGATTTCTACCTCTGTTGCCCATGTACCACTATTCAAGATTTCTGACCTTATAACATACTCTTGCACTGTTGAGTATTCTTCTCTTACCAAGCACTGAAACCTAGCTGAATTTTCCAACAGATGATTCACAACTAGATTTCTAAGCTGCATGTGATTATTTTCAGATCCAGATACAGCATAGGATATTGCTCTAAAAAAACAATTCCCATCACCTTGAATTCTCTTAACATGATTAGGTCGGCCCATGTTTTCACATTGTACAATATTCTCTTTACTTGGCAAACAAATCTTTGTTAAACCCAATGTATGACACAATGCTCTCCTATCACCATTAGTTAGTGGAGCAAATTTAAAATTAGTTGGCTGATTTATTCCTACTATTTCTACATCACCTCCATTATCTTCCACTGTCTGCACATCACTGCAAGCATGACAATCTCTTCCATTAACAATTTCAACAATATCAAGACATTTTCCAATATCTTCATCATCATCTATCCAAATTGAGACCCCTGTAATTTCAAATTGTTCAGTGCCACATAAATTCATGGACTTACCCAGTTCAATACAATAATAATACACACCTTGCCAAGAAGACACACACATGAGTAAACTCTTTCCTTCACTGTCTTGTTGTCCATGCTGATTTCTAGAATGTGAATCAAAGATATAATACAAACTGTCTTGAAAAATTACTGAAAATGTGTTTCCATTAAAAGTGAAAAAACATGCAGGATGTTTTTGGACTGTTTGTTGCACTGCACTACTCAATGGAATCATATTAAAGTCCGTGAAACCTTGTTCTCCAAAAGTACCAGAAACAGGATCATCTATCCTTATTTGAAAATTTTTGTTAAAAACATCTATTTGATCAGGCAACTCAGTAACCAACAAATAATCATCTTTTATTGTTGAACTACAGGATAAAAAGCTATACAATTCATTTCCTGTAGTCAATACAAAATCCATGTCCTTAGAAGTCCACAGATTTAATTTCTTCACTTTCTGATACAATATTGCACAAAGTGAGTTTGCTACGCATTGCTTACCAGAATTTTCTTGAAACCTATAATCACCTTGATGAAAACTACCTTGCACAAGTTTCTTATCGTCTTGTTCTTTTATGTTTTTCTTCACTTTTTCTTTGTCAATGGCATTAGAAAGTGGACGCAAATTTTCTATTTGTGACGCAAGTTTGCCCCTTTTCTTACTTGCACACACATTATTTTCAGAGCAATCTTGTACATGTTCTGCCTTTCGTTTCATTCTGGTTTCATTCTTAGAATGTTCAGTTTTTTTCCAATTGATGTGTTACTTTCTGGCAATTGGCTCTCTGACTGTTTTTTGAATCAAATATCTCTGCTTTTTCATTTCTCTTATTTGTTTCATTTATCTTTGTTCTTCCATCAACATTGTTTTTTTTACTACGCAGTGAATATCCGCCAGTTTGTCTAGGTACAAACTCTGAATTAACTGAACCCATCAAAGTATCCTTTTTAGAAATGATTTGAAAACATTTCAAGGCATGTCTGCACTCTTCAACTCCAACACTATTTGATTTGCAATTACCTTCCGTGCTACTCACACATTCATGACAATTTTCAATTGAACTTTTCCATTTTCCTTCCCAGTATTCTTTTGCAACTGTTTTCTCTCTTGCTTTCTGTTATCTATTACCATTTTTGCAGCATTTTCACTATCAGTAGGGACATTTATTATGATTTTATTACCTTCACTTTTGTTTTCTGTCTCAACATTTTGCGCAGTGGATGGTTCCATCATGTCTTCCTCAAAATCATTCATCAAGGTCTGCTCGTACAGGGTCAAATCTACAGCAATATTAAGATGGTAATACAATGATTCACAATAATTAATTTCTTGGCATCTACAGCAAACCCACATAAGTGATTTCCTGAGCAGCATATCATGGGTACTACTACATGCAAGTCCCATACAATCAACATGATACCACAATCCACAGCTACATTGTACTTTGGGTTCAAATGGCATAATCAGTTTATCACACATCCAACATTCTTCATCATGTCTTGCAATATGTCCCTCTGATTTATCATTACCTACTTCAGTATCTACATGTTTCTCTTTCTCTTTCCTCAGTGATTTATACTGACTCTTCCTTTTCACACGTCCACATTTCAAACTATCCCTCTTTTTACAACTTTGCACTCCTTTACACTTTCCAGTCAACTTCTTGGAGATACCATTAATGACAACACTTAGAATCCTTCCAGTCTGACTCTGCTCATACTTTCGTCTCTCTTCATTTGTCTTCCTTTCCTCTTTGCTCACATGTTCCTCAATCCGCTTACCACACTTCAATCTGTTATACTTCTCTCTTCTTTGTTTTCTTCTCATTTTCTTTCTATTTGGCTTTGATCTTTTCTTTTCATCTCGAACATACTCCACAACGGACTCTAAAACTTCATTTCTCGAACAACATGTCTGTTTCTTTACCTTCAATCTTTTCAGTGCTGTGTAATGCTTCATCCTCTTCTTGGTCATTTTCTTCGTCCTCCATTTCTTTAATGCAGCAATCCTTTTCTGTAACTGACCATCTGAATCAACTGCAGACTTACATGTATAATTAACTTCAGATCCCACTTCCAACAAATCTGCCAAACAAATCATCATTCCATAGCATATTGACAAAGCAATTGAATGACAATACACTCTATGAAGAGGCACATTCCAGTAGTATACTCCCCAAGGAGGCATATTCCAACAGCATACTCTTGAAGGAGGCCTGTTCCAGTAGCATACTCCCGAAGGAGGCCCGTTCCAGTAGCATACTCCCGAAGGAGGCATATTCCAGCAGCATACTCCCGAAGGAGGCATACTCAAAAAGGATACTGTCGGGGGAGACATGTCCAACTATTGTTGTTGTCCAACACTCTTGAAACTGTAATAGATAAACAAACAATCCATTAACATCAAACATGCCTCCCAATACAATTATGCCTTCAAGGCATCCCAAAGTCATCTGCCTTCCACAAAATACACAACATGCATGATCATTGTATAACAATGCTAAATTTGTAACTACAAACCTTTTTGTCTAGATGTACCAAAAAAAATCATAAATTATTTGTAATTCCAGGCTACTACTACTACATTTACTAGTACAATTGATGATTACGTCCACAATTAAGCTAGTTCTGCAATTTAAGAGAAATAGACTTCATATTAATGATGTGCATCGAGTCGTGTTGACCGAACCAAACTGACCCAAAACATTAGAAATATAAACCGAATCCGAACCGAAACCAATCTTGACTCCCTCAAACCGACCCGACCCGACCAAACCCGACCCGATAAAAACCAAAAAAAAACAAAAAACGAATACCTTAATTGCTGGGACAAAGTGATCTCTTTTCTGTGCCTGCCCTTACCCATGTGGCATGAATTCTTTTGGAAAACAATTGTCTCTCTTTGTCATACGCAGTGGGTTGATCAAGAGTATTTCCGCTTATGGGACAAACGCATGGTACTGTTACAATGTATCTATTTTACTGTCAATCCCATTCGACTGGAGAATTTAATACCGTAGGAACTTGATAGTGCACTCGGTTGCCACTCCACACAATGGGCTGCAGTCAGAGTGACTGTCAATAATATATTGCATCACCTAAGTTTCTCAACTGTTTCAATTTATTTCAATTTATTTCGGTTTATTTTGGTTTTTCCCAAAGATGGCTAAACCGACCTGACCCGACCCGAAAATAAAAAATGCAAAACCAAAACTGACCCGACCCGGCTGAAAAGATGGACAAACCAACCCGACCTGACCCTAAGTCGGTTTCGAGTCGGGTCGGTTTCGGGTCGAGTTTGCACACCACAACGTCATATGCACAATTGCCGGCAATTCAATTCACTCTTACATTGTAGTTTAAGCAAAGACCCTTTGGCAACTCCTTGACCAAAACTAGAAATAATTTCTATCAATAATGCCTTTCAACAAACACTATTTAGCAACTTCTTTGTAATACATGTACATGTACATGTACCTTGTTTTTCAATGGCAATTCAAGCAAAGACTCTGAGCAAGTTCTTGCAACAACTTGTAATTTCTCACTGAGACAGTAACCGATACATTTGAAGTTTGAATATAATTGTCTCTGAAACAGTTACCGAAAGCTTTCACTTTTCTTTTTGCTTCATATAACAGATAACTATTAATACAAACATACAACCTGTTCTTTACACACCTTTTGCTACATAAACAACTTCAGTGAGAGGACATGGAATGAGAAAATGAACACGAAAGGAAATACAGTGGAAATGAAATGAGATGATCAGAAAAGGTCAATGGGCGAGACGAAATGGCGAACTGGACGTACAAATAACCAACAAAAAGATGTCGTGGAATAACAACAGTACATGTCATGCATGTAGCCCAATAATATGAATGTATGGTCTGCACCATAATCTGATATCTTTTTGCTATCATTGCTGCCCACCCTGCCCACTACTGACTGTCATAAAAAGTCAACAACTTTCAGTTAGTTTAACAGCTCATGTTTTTTATACTGATTCAAAAGCCACAAGTTTTCAATTGCATTTAGAGAAACTTTTTAAGAGTTTACTTAGAAAACAATTAGAATTTTACAGACCAGTCCCATAGGGTTTGTACACAAAGTGTCAAGTGATGTCCATAAATGGTTCTTTTTCCCAACAATGCTCAAAATGCAACGTGTTTTATAGTATTTCCATCACATCCATACTGTACTACATGCCATAGTTTTAGGCCTACTTGAGCATGACTTGAGATAGCCCCATAAATGTGGCCTATTTACTGGACTGCCTCCGTAAACATAGGCCACACATCCACAAAAACGTGTCGACTTTGCCAAATTTTGATTTTCACATTTAGGCTTAGTTTGTAGGTTTTTTTTGCTTTAAAAGCATTCTCACCCTCTATTTAGGCTAATCAGAAAGTGCTGCCTTTTTCAGATGTCTAATTTTTGTGAAATTTCATGTTGAAATTTTGATACGCAAACGTGTGCAAATGTATCTGGAAATCTCACGAAAAATGGACATCTGAAAAAGGCAGCACTTTCTGATTAGCCTATATAGAGGTTGAGAATGCTTCTAAAGCAAACAAAACCTAAAAAGTAAGCCTAAATGTGAAAATCAAAATTTGGAAAAGTCGACACGTTTTTGTACATGTGGATGTGTGGCCTATGTTTACGGAGGCAGTCCAGTGAATAGGCCACATTTATGGGGCTAGACTTGAGACACTAAAATAAAAAAAATCTCTACTAATTTACACCCTATGAATCTTCAAATCAAAGAAAAACTAGTATTTATTTCCAATACAATCAAACAAAACAAACACAAAATTTCAATAAACCCGTAAAACTACGAAAATGTGTCACATATTTTACTGGTTTTGCAACACGCCACTCCATTCTCACCGTATCGATAGCAGTCTGGTGCATTGTGCCGAAAGTACACGTACGTCAGGTGATGAACATTTGGTACACGTTTTTGAGTTCAATGCACTTCAAGTGTGGTACTCATAGGCCGACACGGAGGGCGCCCTATCACTCGCACAGTGCTACCGGCGCCTAGCAGCCCCCGATCCGCGGGTATATCTCCAAGTACCAAAGATCCTAGAGCGCGCGTAGAGAGCGCCGCTACGCGGCACTATACCATCTTTGGTAGTACTACTAGCAGTCCAAGTCCATCGTTTAGTAATTACTTCAATCGGAAGAATTTCATTTCTTCTTCCAACTGGAACAAGATATTTGATCATGATCAGCATCGCTTGATCATGTTCAAACACCAACTTGCCCAACACCAAAAAAAAACAAGAAATGAACCCGCTTGTGCCACCTTGGCGCGTGCGCCCGGCTTACGCTTAAATGGATCGAGCAAGATGTCCACCTCCATCGGTTAACTCCTCGACTTTAACGCTTCGTGCATGCTTTTTCCTCGACGGAAAATCTAAAAATCCGCGAATATCTGCGTTTGTAAACTACAAACATTTAGGCCAAAAATAAGTCTCCGGTTTCTGCTATGCGCGCGCGTCGCCGTAGCCTTGCGCGTCGGCAAAATGAAAACAGTTTTTTTTTTTCAATACAAGATGATGTCTCAAAACCGCCAAATTCACTGGTTTGACTGTAATCCTGCTGCTGCACAACGGTGTTTTTAGATGGGGTTATGATCGAGAATAAGCTTTATGTGGCCTCTCTGGACTCCCATATATTTGCACTAAGTTTAGTCGGGCACCATTTGCAGTCATCAGCCGACAGTTGAAGCCAAAAAAAAAAAAACCAGGTAAAAAAAAAAAAAGCCGCGTCGCCGCACCACTTTTGGGGCAAGCTCCATACCAGAAACCGGAGACTTTTTTTTTTGGCCTTATACAGTCTTTTTTCTTTCTTCAAAGCCATTGTGTGTTTTCGTCAACATTTTTTTTTTCCTGAAGTGTATGACCTTTCAGATCCCAGTTTATTTTCAAATTTCAGTAACTCAGTCAAAGAATTGTTTTAATTATATACCAAAAACAATCCCACCCATCAACAATTAACTTACAATTCTGCAAGCAGCCGTTTTTCAAAAGACATCCTTCCACCTTTTCCAGATTCTTGCAACAATTTTTCATTGCAATTTGTCATAGATTTTGCCCAAAAATAGCAGCCGCTGAATCCGAAAATCGATCTTGCACCATTTTAATTTACTCCATCCCACAATTTCGTCAGACACACAAATTTCTATTTTCAAACAAAATTGAGAGCTGCTTTCCAGGCGCAGTGGCTCGACACCAGATTTGCCCAACATTAGTACAATGACCCCCGTACTTGTTAATTCAGTAGTGAACTGTCCGTCCCGAATGCTCCCTCGACAAAGAAACAAATTATAACGTGGTACTCAGATGACCCTCTAAAAATTGCTCCACAAAATGACATAGATACCACTTTCAAGCTACACCTTTATCACGACATTGGCCTATTAGCAAATACAAAAACAAGCATGTATTTACGAAAAGAAATAAAAGTGACCCCGTGCATGATCTATTATCCTTGAGGGATATTCGACGCGACTGTCATGAGTCTCTGTTATTCTTAAGGAACCAGACTTAACCGATTTTTAATTCATTTGGGTCAATTATCCGAAAAGCACTTCACGAGCTACGGCTACGTCTACTTCTTCGCATTTGTATTTTTAATTATATTTTGCATAACTGCTTAATTTCATAAACATTTTATTCAATGAATTTTATCCTAAATGTATTAATCACTGTTATCCAATTAGTTTGGAGCCCCTCGGCAGAAACTTGTTTCTTTTGGTTAATCCTGCGCGAGCTTTTTGGGTGTTGTTGTCTGTTATGTTTCTGTTATGTTTACTACTCAGTATTATTTATACATGTGATTGTTTTGTCTATAGTTCACTGTTTGCAATATCCCGGAAAATAAATAAATAAATAAACTAGAGGTTGTAGGAACAACCACACGTTGTTGGGCCATGGATTACCGCAAACTTTGCCACACACATCAACTCAAAATATGTATGTTTAAATCCATGTTTGACTTTTCAACATGCCGCCACAGGGCGCTCTAACATTTGATGACGTCACCTGTAAAATTGTTGTACAGTACTGCCTAGGCAGACACTCGAAACGTTGAAAGCAAGTTCGCACCTTCTGCCAATTTCAATTAATAAGACACTTCCGGTTTTGACCGGAAGGAAGAGTCACGTAATTTTGCACTTAAAACCAAAAATGAAGACCCTGCAATATTTTATCGATTGCCATAAAAAAACAAAATCAAATCTGTAGCACTTGATTTCATATTGATTTTCAAACATTAAATATGAAAATATTTATTTGCTTGTAATATGACACTTGATGACGTCATTGTGACGTCATCGCCAGAAACCTCCAGAGCTATATTTACTCTGCTATATATAGCCACATCTTGATTATATCTCTCACGGTTGATTTTTTTAGCAATTGTTTAAGGTTTAAAGGTCTTTTCTTTATAACTTCCGGTCTGATGACGTCATCCATTTTTTTCGCGCACAGGTCTTTTCTGCATTAAGTTCATCATGTATGTTACGTTTGAAGCGATCACCGCAAATTTCGTCACATACATCAAGTGATAATGCGTTTTTGACGTTTTTTAATCTGCCGCTAGAGGGCGCTCTAACACTTCATGGCGTCACCCATTATTTTTTTTGAAAGGTCAATCCAGGCAGACACTTAAATCGTTAAAAGCAAGTTCATATCTTTTTCCACTTTCAAATTATTAGGCACTTCCGGTTTCGACCGGAAGGAAGATCATGTATTACCATGTCGATTCCCGCAAATTTCAGGTTCCGATCTCTCACAGTTGATTTTATTTGGAATTTCAAAGATTAAATTTATTAAACTTTCGAGTGACGTCACGTCACCCATGATGACGTCATGATGACGTAATTACAAAAAAGACCATCTGCGGTGGATTGGGCATTCATGTATTGACAAATGAAGTTCATATATGTTTCCATTTCTCCAAACAGTTCCGGAAACCAATTCCGGAGAATATGCTGAGAAGATTACAAACAGTAAAATCTTACAAAAACAATAGGTATTGGGCTCAAGGCCCAACACCTAATAAATAAACCTCTTATGCATTCCAAACAAAAAAGACTTAACTCTAGACCTTTCTGCGCTAATTGGTTGGCAAACTGCATTTTTGCCAACCACGTACGGCCTGCAAAACTATGGAACGTCCAACACTGCAAAAATGAAGGAAGAGATATTACAGATCACCAAATTATATTTTGATACTTGAAAATACAACATTCTCTACAAAGCTACAAAATGTTTCCTACATATGCCTTTTTACTATGTGTTGCTGGCGTTATGAGAACTTTTTTGGAAAAATATGTTTCCAACCACGGCTTCAATTTATGCGCTTACGGCAGCCCATACAAAATGGCGCCAAAGTTTATAAACAAAAGAAAGGCTTATTATTTGCATACACCTTTGACACGCCAAACAACCACATATTTTAAAGGACTGTCAGCGCCATTTCAGTCCTCCGCGCAAGTTTGAACCTGCACGCACGCAAGTTTAAAGTGGCGCGTGCATTAATTTCCTTGCTACAAATTGCGCACGCAAGTTTAATCTTGCGCACTACATAGATTTCCCCCATGCGCAAGCAAATAAGCCGCCGAACTAATTTCTTCTTTCTGGTAAAAAATGCCGTTAACTCGTGCAGATATGTAACATTATTATTAAAGCAGATGTGTCACCGATTAATAGCACCACTGTGCTTCGTGAGACATTGCCTTTTTTCAAATACTATATTAACAGTAGGCCTATTATGCTAATGAGTGACTGTAAAGAGATTCAGATAGGGCTGGCAATTTAGGCACCATGATGTGTATTATTGTTTATGGCTTATTGGGTTTTTATTTAATAAACAACATATTTAGTCATTAAGTCGAATTAATTAAATTAATACATGAAATTAATTATCATTAATACATATATTTAAAGTACTTTTTAAAAAAAAATAATTACCATCTTATATGCATAGCATTTTAATTTAAAACATGTGAACATTAATCATAAATTATTGAGCCTGCAAATATAACAATTGTTAAAATAATACATTAAATTAATTACCTAATTTAGTAATGCGTTCATTAATTTTTTTTTTCAAATTAGGCATTTTTGAAGGGTACACAGCGTTCGAAATATTATGCAAAGTATTGTTAAAAACAATATGAGTTATTGTACCGTCCAATTAGTTAATTACTAAATTGATTAAATTGGTATTTTCTTTTTGTTTGACTGAACAACTTCAGTATACTTAAGCAATCGCCGCTATATTGTGCTTATTGATTGCTATCCCTTCCCCGCCGCGCCCCCGCCCCCTAAAAAAACTTCCCTGATAAGCACTGCTTAAAATCTCAATGTTTCTTTTCATTGACGCTAATTGAATTTCCCTTCTTATTATTTCTTTGTTCATTAATTTTTTTTCCATTATTTATTAATTAATTTCTCCATGTATATGTTCTGAATTTGTTTTTTTTCATCAATTACATTCCCGTCCGCAAGGTTCTCAAATTGCAATCGCCTTTGCGCAAGTTGTAACGAGCGCAAGCAAACTAAAATGGCGCGGTGTAATTTGCGTGCTTCGGGAGTCCCTCGCGCAAGTTTAAGCTTGTGTGCGCAAGTTTAAACTTGCGCGGGGGCCTTAAATTGCGCTCGACAACAATAAGACTAAGAGTTGAAAAGTACCTCCGGCGTTTCACAGCAGCTTCCAAGGTAAGTTCTACTTCATTTCATCCAACGTAAAAGAGGAAATATTGCACTTTGTCAACTGAGGATTTCAGTGGCGCTATACACCTATTCTCACAAACCAATTTTCTTCAACCTAACCATGCCACGGCCATGACGGTACTACTACTACTTGTACTAGCCTAGCCCCATAAATGTGGCCTATTTACTGGACTGCCTCCGTAGACAAAGGCCACACGTCCACATGTACAAAAATCGTGTCGACTTTGCCAAATTTTGATTTTCACATTTAGGCTTAGTTTGTACTCACCCACTTTATAGGCTAGGCTACTCACCCACTTTATAGGCTAGTCAGAAAGTGCTGCCTTTTTCAGATGCCTAATTTTTGTGAAATTTCATGTTGAAATTTTGATATGCACTGACGTGAAAAAAAAAGGAATCTGGAAATGTCACGAAAAATATACATCTGAAAAAGGCAGCACTTTCTGATTAGCCTATAAAGAGGGTGAGTATACTTCTAAAGCAAAAAACCCTACAAACTAAGCCTTAATGTGAAAATCAAAATTTGGCAAAGTCGACACGATTTTTGTACATGTGGACGTGTGGCCTATGTTTACAGAGGCAGTCCAGTAAATAGGCCACATTTATGGGGCTAGTACTAGCCTAGCCTAGCCACACTAGTGGGGCTAAGCCTAGCCTTATCATGCTTATCGCAAATTCCTTTAGACCTACCGTTTGATTGAATTTGTACAATGGTTGAAAGGCACTGTCGCAAGAAAAAGGATCCAAACATTGTATGTTTTTTTCCTTCCAACATTGCCTTCCATCTTTTGTACAAATTTTGCCATAAGGCTTGTTTTTATTACTGAAGCTTTAATGTGCACTTTTCAATTATTCATTTCCACAGATGGCAACCATCTTGTTCAAGGTACTATCTGATTTAGAAGAACGTGGTCAGTCGATGGAAGTAGATATCCTTACCTCCACCAATAAAATAATGGAACTCTTCACAAATGATGAAAGACACTATCCCAAGTTGACCAAAGGCCAATTTCTCCAAGCTACCTCCTGCAACTTCGTAACACCTCAGGAAGGACCTAATTTGTATAGATTGTCACACAAGAGTAAGGTAATTGCTTTTCAATGAAAATATTTCCATGTTTACATATCAACAATTATTATTAGGAACCACTTTCCTGAAAGAAAACACACCCCCCCCCCCCCTGAAAGATGCGCTGGTAGGCCTAACTAGAGAAGTCATGGAAACTCGGGTAGAAGCTGTATAGTATTTGATCAGGTGATCAAATCACGTGATTTGTGAAACATTTTGTGGGACAATATCCCTCATCCTATAGCCCTTTCTCTGGCCTTCATGGATCTCAGGAACTTCAAACTTTTAACTGCATAAAGCAATTAAACACATTACGTCATTTGTGGCTTATTCTATGGAGATACACATGGTTTTTGAAATAAAATTTGCTCCTTTCACAGCTATACCGTGCCCAAATCTTCACCTCTCCCACAACCATAGAAATGGAGCAAAACTACTACAATGCAGATATTGTTCCACTCTCTGAAGCCATGAATATCAAAGAATATTCCCGATTCTCAGTACAAGGCACAGTGAGTTATGTAAGTAAACAATCATAAATTCAAAATCTAAGAAAAGATGCTCCCTTAAACCTTCATTTATATTCTAATAAATTATTTCCTTAATAAATCTGTCAATAAAATATTACCTTCATGTAGCATTTAAAAGACATAAATATCATGAACCAATAAAAATGTTGTCACCGTCCTTTCATTTAACAAATCTACACTATTGCAGAATATCAAAACAACAAATCCTGTAATTTCATTTATATACTCATACTTTTTTACAGGTCTCACCCATCAAGACATCAGAGAAATCTGAACGAAGAGATGTTGAAATCACCGACCCCAACAACGATAAAGCCAAGATAAGAGTCACCCTATGGAAGCGTTTTGTGAACAACAACATCCAAGAAAAGCACAGCATCACCATGAAAAACATCACTATGAAGCCATACAAGGGAAGACCACAATATAACTCAACACAAAACACATCAATCAAGGTATTTGCTCCTTACACATTTTTTTTTCTAAAATTTTTATAGACACAAACAAACACAAATTTTGTAAAAAAACCCCTCAAAATAATTCATTTTCAATCACAATAAATTCACACAACACTCACCCACTGATATTCCTTTCAATTTTCCAAAATCTAAAAGTGAATATGTTTTCTTTCAAATGCTAATTGTACATTTCTTTTTATATTATTATATCACATTGCAGGTTGAATATCCAAAAAAGCAACATGAAATCACCATCTCAAGCTTCGATCAACATGAAAGGTGTGTAAAACCTCCATATCCATTTACATCCCAACAATCATAACCACACATTTCATTACCACATTTTACTCACCCCCTTCCTCCAAAAATATATATAGCCATTCCTATTCCTAATAATAAAAATCAAAATCATATTCTTCTACAAACCTAGCATGTACTGCCCCTTGATTTTTGGATACAAATTGTTCAACCCCCATACCCATACAAATAATTCAACAACCATCTTTCAACCTTTCTGTCCATGATTTAATATCTAAAAACCAATTTTCTTGACATATACTAAAATGTTAATAACTTATTAATTTACAGTTTATTTTAAAAAACACACAACCGTTCTCAATTCATACTCCTTGTTCTATCCCTTACCCTATCTATTCCATTCCAGCAATATGCTCCTGCTATTTGGAGAGGACCAGACAGAGTACAAGATAGAGCAGGACCTTCTCTTCACCAAATTGCAGTTCAATGATCTAGATGACCTTCAAGCATCCCTACCTTTAACAATCAGAGTCAGCTCAACCGATATCAACATTGATGATATCAAAACAGAGTAAGCATTTTGTTAACTTTTATACACAACAATATTTTCCCTCTCGATCTTTTCTGCAATAAAATTAACTTCACAACAAAACCGCTCTTACAATCCAAATTCAATAGAACTATAAGATTACATTGTTTTCTTTCATTTCTGCAGACTTGATGAGGTACTGGATGAAACCGACGAACTGGATGAAACCGACCACCTCAAAAAACAGTAGCCCTGCGCACAGTCAGCATCAACATTCAAACACAAAACAGTTAAAAAGCCTGATCTCATGTTACCGAAATAAATCTACACAAATAATTCTCTCATAAGTTAAACCCTTGCGCATAATTCTCTCTAAAATTCAAATCGCCAAAACATAATCCTTTTCTATTTTTATTAGCATTTACAATTCGTCTTGCTAACAGCAGCCACCATGTAGTACCATGCAGGAAGAAACTTGCCTATTTGCTTTTCTACTATCAATATAGTAAACAGCAGATTTTCAGTGTTAGTACCCTACAATTTCCAACTTTTCTGCCAACAGAAAGCAAATTTTGCTTTTTGTCACTCTGCTCGCTGATACAAAATAGCCATTTCTTTTTCTCATATCTCAAAAGCAAACAGTGATTCCAACTTTCACAACAAATGTACCATCTACATTTCTGCTTTTTGGATACTAGAAAAACATATTTCATTTCAACATCCAAAAGCGCCTTCCAGCTTTTCTGCCTTCAAAGAATCGTCCATCACATTTTGCTCATAACCATTTCGTTTTGGGATGATCCAACATATCGAGCACAATACCCTGTTCATCCTATTCTTTTCAGTTCATCAGTTATATGAATTCAAAATTGCAAGTGAATCCAAACATGATGCAACTAAAATCTTTCAATTGCCCAGAAACGCATGTTCAAATCCCAAAAGAAGTCTCCACGAAACACCCAATAAACAACTTAAACTAACTTGCAAAGACGCCAATTGGAACGCATCTCAACCTAAATAAAACAGCCTGTGCAATTTCCTATTTCCTACTAAATATCCCATTCAATATAACAGCATAGGTAACTTTATTTCTGTTTAGACATCTTTAATCTCTCCAAAAGCAAATGTTCGTAAACTACACAGAACCCATAATTCCCTAAAATCAGAAAACCATTTTTCCACCACCTAATTCTAAAATCTCTTTCTCTACTATCCAAAAAGCAGAACATCAAAACAACACATGTTATAAAAAGTTGACTCTATTTTCAATTCTTCTAACAAAAGAAAATCAGTTGCCAAATTTCCATTCGCCAACAAACAGAGCCAAACTGCAATCTGCTTTTCTCATGCTGATTCCACACCAAAAAAGTCAACATATGCATTATCACAATCATCAAGTCTCCTTTTCAAGTACCACAACAATAGAAAGTCAACATTTGCAAGCTAAAAAAAAAAACCCAAAAAACAATCTGCTTTGCTGCTATTCTGATAGCACAAAAGCAAATAGCCACTTTTCATCTATCACGTACTACATTTCGTACGGTAATTACTTTAATTCGAACAATTTTTTCAAAACTCTTTTCAATCGTAAAAAAAAAGAGTTGTTAATACGTTAAATTGAAGCATTACTTCAGTTTCTATACTTATTTACCTTATACCTCTATATCGTTTCTACAAACTTTTATATTCTTCAATATTAGATAGTTCCTCTGAATATAAAATCAAGACAATTAACCCAACGTCATTAAAGCTTGAGCAGATTTTGTGATTTTAATAGTGTTTTCCTCTTCTTTTTTTACACCTTTTCATAAGAGTATTCTCGTTAAAGCATTTTATTCTCTACAGTTCACTTAAACATTTACTTTTGTGTTTATAGCTTTCCTATTTTTTTTTACACCTTTTCATAAGATTATGCTTGTTACAAACATGCTATTCTCTAGTTCACTTAAACATTTACTTCTGTATTTATAGTTGTCCTCACTATTTTTTTACACCTTTTCATAAGATTATACTTGTTACAAACATGCTATTCTCTAGTTCACTTAAACGTTTACTTTTGTGTTTATAACAATAAACAATCCTGTTGACGGGAAAACTTGCCTCAAAAAATTCTCTGATCTGTACCTGTCATAACATCATCGGGATGACTTCAAAAAATGCATACGGTATGCATATTTCCTAAGCATAATCAAACCACCAACAACGAAAAAGCCATTTGCTCCGTCCGTAAGACGGACAAAACTCTAGTTTTATTTATTGCTGTTATAAAGAAACAGACCTAAACATCATGACACAAGATGCACCATGCCGTGCAGCATGGGTAAATGGTGGGGTCGACATAATGGTGCTGTCGCTGTGCAACATGCACACGTACATTTCCTTGATTGAGCCTAAAATTTTCATAAATTTCTGTGAGCCATTGTCTGTGCAAACCATACAGTTATTACCTTGGTTGCCAATATAATGCTTGTTCAGGGCAATGTACGTGTACATGCATATGTCGACAATGCACTGCCGTAAACAGTTTATGTCATTGTGTTTTAATCTACTATTGAGTGAAACATATCACTGAATACAGTTTCCCAATCTTGTTTTGTTTACAGGACGTGGATTCTGGGGTACCAATCGTAAAATCAAGGCAATCCGTACCAATAACTGGGTGAAACTGAAGAGGAAGAACCGAGGTCTCCCCGCCCTCAAACAGACATCTTCATCCTCTGAAAATGAGGCGACAGCAGCTGCAGGTCATGATGATAGCCCGGATGTCTCTCTGCAGTCCTTGTCCCATGGAATGCAAAAAAATTGAATCCAAATGAGTGGCGATCTTGAAATCCTTTTCAAGTGTAAGGTGTGCTTTGAAAAATGTAAGCCACCAATTTTGGCAAAAAGGTGTTGCTTAAACATAGTGGGGTGTGCCAAATGTGTAGGACAGTGCACAAACCAATCATGCATTTTATTCCGAGCAGATCCTGATGACCATCCCAAGGGATTGTATGTTGAAACGCCTCAAATTCGGGGACTACTAGCTCTTGTAGGGATTGAACCCATCTTGCCTTGAAAGCCAATTGATAGCCAGGAGTTCTGGCTTAAAAGAGGCATATACTTGTATTAAAGTTTTTTTGTATTGTTATCTTTAAACACATGTTCTTACCTTTAAATATTATCAAAAATATTAAAACTTGAGCTTCTTTCAAATATTCGTAGTCTTCTAGTTAAACAAAGAAATTGACTCGAACAGGATTTCAACCTGCAACCTCTGTACTACCGTTAATTCTGGTACTTTATGACGTAAGCCATCCAGCCCCTATATTGTAAACCTCCCCAAATTAATAAATTCTTTGTTCAGCTTCTGGCGTGCATCCCACTAAACACAGAATTGACTATTACTGACGGTTACAGGTTGTTTCAGTAAATTTTTGAATGTTCTATTATGCGGCCATAAATGTGCCCCCTCGAGCATAAAAGTGCCCCCTAGAGATAAAACAAAAATGCCCTTAAAGTATTGTAACATTTGAGCAATTGACATAATTTGTTTTGACTTGGCGCGCCATAGAAAGCGATAGACGCGCAATTAGTTTGTCGCCGCCAGCGGGCTAGTCAGTTGGTGAACGCTACTCGTACTGGCAGGACCAACCAAGCCTACCGGAGCGTCAATTCAAGGAGGCGAAAGGGCGTACTGCAGTAAGTATATGTGCCTACCTACCTTTAGCGTGGGGCATATAGCGGAGCCAAAGGCGCGACTGTTGGCCGGACGCCTCGAGGGACGACGTACGCTAGCGAGCGTACATCTACTGAGGCGTCGCTCCGAGCACTGAGGCGCAGGGCTGCTGTAGGTACCGCTGGAGGCGTTAGGACTCATCGAGGAGTTACACGCTACATATAAACCAGGCTCACGAGGAGCCTACCCTTTCGAGGCCCGAGGAGACGAGAGGCGTTGCCGAGGGAGCAACTGTGCGCGACATTTAGAAGTGCATAAATGCGGCACTTGCGTGGTGGATAAGTGCAAACTAGTGGCGGCGGAGGCGCTATACACTCACTGGAGGCGCTATAACACTCACTAGAGGCGCCATAGCAATCACTTGAGGCGCTATTTAGGGCGTATTGAAGTAAATCACTCTAATCATAATATTTGATCTAATTAAATAAATCAGTGAAACCTTCGTCCTTTTGTCATTGCGTCACAGTCATTTTTACATGTTTGTCAGTCTGTATTGTCTGTCTGGAAGTCAGCGATCAGTGAGTAGACTGAGTATACGTGGTGGTATATTTCCAACCGAACGGACCTGCACCTCGGCGCTGTTAGGGTTACTCGCCTTACCCGCGAGTGTTCGCCGAGGACAACCGACCTGGCAATAGAAAAATCCGCCACAAATGGTGGCAGCGGTGGGATTTGTATGCTCAGCTTATTACTGGACGCTTTGAACATTATTTTGTGTGTGCACTGACCTCTTTACGAGCGTACGTGTAAACATACTGATAACTAATCTCGATTGCATAATCAAATTTGGAGTTGATCAAGTGTTGCGAGTGATTAGACAAAGTTGGACACTCCGATTTTTGCGGAGGACTTGGAAGGATAATTCTCAGGACGCTGACACTGAATGGCCAAGGCCAAGTGTTCGGACGAGATGAGCAGTAAACAGAGAGAAAGCACAGGTACCCTCACAGGCGAGCGTCCTGTGCCGATATTGCAGGAGGAAATTGACCTACTGCGTATGGAAGTCCAACTGAAAGAGGATCAGTTGGCAAACTCGATGAGAGAAAAGGAACGTGCCGAGACCCGGTTGGGGCAATTTCTGTCTCAATCCCCGGGGTCTCCGGAAGAGGAACACCACCAACGTGGGTGGATACACAAAAGGCCCGAGAGGGATGACAAGGAAATCGAATTTAAGTATGATTTAACGCGTGACATGGAGACCTCTGGTTATGGTTCCATGTTTGGTCGCGCAAAACAGATGCAGCGAACCGGTACGGAGACAGGCCGGAACACATCTACACCGATGAAAACGATGATGAAGAATAAAACATACTTGCCACAACCACAGTCGACGGCACAGACACATCCGACTACTGATCGTGGAGGAGCTATAACGCCTCCGGTGGAGGGCACTCCAGAGAGTGCAGGCGCCACCCCCACAAACGACAAACACGGTGATCTGATGGAGGGCAGGCCAACGTCTCCTAGCACCCCATGGCCATTGAAGAGAGAGGAGCGGATTCAATCGTCACAAGAGTGGCAGGACCGATTTGGAGGAAAAGCCAAACGACCTAATATTGTTCCGGATCGATTCAGCGGAAAACAGCCCTGGATAGATTACAGGGAACACTTCGAGTCTTGTAGGCGAGTAAATGACTGGAATGATGAGGAAGCTGCAGCGTTTCTGGCCGCAAGTTTGCAAGGATCCGCTGTGAAAATTTTGACTAATCGCCAAGGGGAAGGAAAAGCCCGGCAATACAAGTATACTGAACTAATTGGACTACTCGATACACGTTTTGGGCCGGGGCAGATGGCTGAGAACTTCCTTATGGAACTGAGAAACCGTCGCCAAGGCCCAAAGGAGACTTTACAGGAACTTGGAGAAGCAGTCCGCGAGTTGGCTACCCTATCATATCCGGAGTTAACGGAAGACAGTAGGGATAGATTGGCTCGTGGGCATTTTTCAGACGCAATCGCCAGCCAAAGCATTCGGGAGGGAGTTTTCCGGTCAAGGCCGTCTTCTCTGAATGACGCCGTTCGTGCGGCGCTGGCGACGGAGAATTTTGAACGGATTGAGGAACAACGATGTGGAAAAAAAGGACAAGAAATGCCGCATGGGGCGAGATGAGGAGGAGTACTGGGACACCATCATAGCTGATGTGGTCGACCATCAAAAGCAGTACTACAAGAATATGAGAGACGAGCAGGCAACTAAGGAAAAGTCACCTCAGCCTGAAAAGAGGAGAGACACACGCGTATACCACCCGAGACCGCGTAGGATAGCCAACCCGGATGATAGGTGTTACGGGTGCCAAGGAAAGGGACATTTTGCAAAGGATTGCACAAACCCAACTACCCCTGCACGGAGGCGCTCGGGAAACGGCCGCCAGCCGACTCTGCGACCCAAGAGGAGGCTGGGCGAACAGAAGGGTCAACCGACAATGGACTCAGAAGTTCAACAGGACAAAACTCATCTCAACCCTGACGACAAAAGAGAAATATTTGCACCATTGGTTGTTCCAAAGCAGGGACTTTACGTACAAGGAGAGTTTCGGTCAGTCACTATCCCGTTCCTGGTGGATACCGGAACGACGGACACAATAATCTCGGAGGAGGTTTACTATCAGATACCGACAGAGAGACGCCCACCGTTGGAGCAGGATGGCATCCGAGTCGTGCAGGCAGATGGTAGTGTCATGGAAACAGTAGGTGTGGCAAACATGGACTTGCGTATTGGAAGGACAGCGTGCCCAATACGGGCAGTCATTGCCAAAGTCAAAACCAAAGGCATACTCGGGATGGACTTTCTGCTCCCAACTGGAGGGACACTGGATTTCAACAAGTGTGAACTTTTGCTTCACGGAGAACACATACGGTGCACAACTAGATGGGGAACTACCTTGCATGCCAGGGTGGCTGTGGCAGAAACGACTGTCATTCCGCCCGGACACGAAGCTCTTGTTCAAGGAAGAGTGACCCGTGATTTCGAATCAGGTGACCTGGGGATTATAGAACCGATTGAAGGAGGTGGTGAGTTGGCGCAAAAAGGCTTGATTCTTGCAAGAACGTTGGTAGATCCTGAGGAGGGAGTACTTGCCTTGCGGTTGCTTAATCCGGGCAGCCGAGAGTGCATGGTTCGGTCGGGCACGACAGCCGGACGCCTCACACCGGTGGTAGAGAGAGATGTGCTGCAGGCACATGCAGTTGAACCAGGAGATGAAAACAAGGATGTACATGTCCCCAGCCACCTTGAGGATCTCTGGAAACGCAGTGTGGAGAATCTGGATCCCTGTTATCACTACGCAGTGGCTCGACTGCTCACTGATTTTGCAGATGTATTTTCGGAGGGCGATCATGACATTGGAAGAAATGATTGGGTGAAGCACCATATCGACACGGGAGAAACACGACCTGTCAGGCAGAGGCCCCGCCGGCAGCCATTGTGCAAGCAACAGGAGATTGACCGACAGGTGCAGGACTTGTTGAAGAGGGGACTGAT